TGGCTAAAATGCATTACGAGGACATTATGGGCCAACAAGCTTGCTTTCTCTGCATCGCACAGCGTCATCGTCTTTGCGGCGATAAAACCCAACCACCCGGAAAGCAAGAAGGAAATACCAAGAGAGGGTGGAGAGGCGGATAATGTGGTGATGACGGACCGCAGTACCGCCAAGGCCCTCCTCACTGACGAGCGCGAGTCCACTGGCAAATGTGGACGCATCTGTAAACCCATCTCCAGCATGCCTCTGACGCAAAGGCGCATTCTGTTAGTCGCACTGTCACTTAAAAGATACTGTGATCGGCAGGATTAGACCATAATTAGCAAAGTCAGCTGCCAATTCCGCTGTATAACGTTTTTAAATGCGTGGATCTGATTTGAATGATTAATTTAGGCTGGTGTTCAATGAAGGACAAAATCGTACATCAGTTAGAGAGGCCAGATAATCTAAACAATCCCAGTTTAAAAGCGCATAACCTGAGCTTGATTAAAATACCTTTCTTTCTCCGAGCACCGGTTTTCGGATAATTTGTGGCAAAAGTGCAGTAGCTTGATCGGGAGGTTGTTGTTTTGGTGGGCACAAAACTCTAAAGGTGCAGGTCAAAACATATTTTTACACTACTAATGGCTGTTAGAGAGCATGATGTCAAAGCAAATTAAGCATTTTCTCTCATGCTAGCTTAAGATTTAACCTCCTCACGCCCTCACTCAATCAGTTCAAATATAGTTGTACTGGAGTTTTGGTTATTTACGACTACTTATTATTTGTATCTACAAATTCATGCAAAAACGGCAATCGAAAGGCTAGACAATTCCTTTCCTTTAGTGGAGTAGTCTTAGCAGTCTTGGCTGGCTCGTTTTACGGGAATACCTTTGTTCCAACTCAATACATTCAGACCTGGTACCAAGGAGCTAGCAAAGAAGGTAAAGCCTATAAATCTACGCCTTTTTCAGATTATATATACCACTTTCCGACTACTTTCCTGTATCTGACCCATACAAGGTCTTCACTACGTATTCGCTAACTTTGTGGGCATCTGGATGACCTCGACAGCGATCTTTTTTATTTACTCGCTGGGGAAAAAGAACAGACCCTGGGTCCCACATAACAACGCCATCGTGCCCGCCCTTGCTAGCGGAGCCCTGTGGGGCACCGCACAGTCCGCCTGGTTCGTGGCCAACGCGGCACTTGGTGAACCCGTCACCTTCCCCATCATCACCACCTGCCCTGCTCTCATCGCCACCATCTGTGGCATGGTCTTTTTCAAAGAAATCACTGTATGTTCGTCATATGATTCTTTTTTTCACCATGAATTGTGTTTCCCACAAGCGAACTGCATTTATAATGATTCCACTGTTTCAATACAGCAACTACAGAGCGTTGTCTGATTGTAGCTAAGCAAAGCTGCATTTCGTTTGATCTGGCGATTTTTTTTGTAGGGATCCTTAAGTCAGCCTTATGCGAATGAGATGCGTAAGTCTGGACACAAAAATGTGCGTGTTTCAGGAGCCAAATCATTTAGGCCTTTGATCATCATTCGGTTAAGGGTACGTCCAGCTAAGCCAATATGGCAGTCAGTGTTCTCTTTTTCAGGGAAAAAGAAACTACATTCTGCTAGCGATCGCCTTCTGTGTAACCACCACCGGTGTAATCCTCAACGCCCTCTCAAACGTTTAAGCTTAGAGCACTTTAATCTACGCTTGCCACTTCTCTTGTCGATGCACAATTCATCTCCTTGCAGCATTAACCTTTCAAATATAGACAATCATCCACCGACCATCTCCTTTCCCTACTTATTGGTGCGTATTGTGATTGGTGATCTGATTCATATTTTGATGTAATTTAATAAAGTGTAGTAACCAACATTCGTTTTCGCAAGTCCTGATTTTACAAAAAAATGAGACACGAGGCAAGAACAATGGCAGTCAACTAGTGATCAGTAGGAAAAGAAGATAAGAAACCAGTGAAATTAGACTTTCCCAACCTTTTAGGGTTGTAAGAAAGACCTTGCAAAATTGTTTTGGAAACTATTAGAGATGTCTTGGAAGTTAATAGCAAATAAGAATCTACCCAAGGTATTATAAGGGAATAAAAGGCCGTTCAAAATTCAACAATACAGACCTCGAGAGCATGTGCCTTACGCTGATCGGTAGTAAGCGTTTACGTTACATTTTGAATGATCGCCGTATGAGAAGCCGTCAAAAATTTGATGTAATCAGAGCAAAAATCTAATGCAAAGATTTTTATCTAAAGTCAAAAGCACTTGGTGCCGGGGCATTTGACTAGAACATTGCATATGTTTGTAATAAACTTACGTTAACCATGTTTTCGCACAGCATTTAGGGAGCAGGTGAATTTTCAGCTTTCATTTGGAAATCATCACACAAATATCTCAGACGCTCTCTTAAGTAGTAGAAATTTAATCGAAACAATGGCTTAGACTTTGCGCATCTTTAAAGAAAAAAAATTCACACAACAAGTTCCTTTTGGACGAAATGGTTGAATTTTAACGTAGTGTCTTATTGGGCTTCAAATTTTAGAAGATCACTCCTGAACTTCTATCTGGCCATGGCTAAACTGAATTCTCTCCTTTTTGTGTCGGTTTCGTTTCTCAGTTATCTTACATTGTGGTTACTATTCCGAAAAAACATTCACTCGCAATCAATCTCGCAACAAAGTAATATTGAAGGTGTTGTGCAAAGAAGTCCAAGACCTCTACTGGACAGGTATTGTTCTACTTAAATCACATTTCTAGAATTCATAATCACATCATGCATCTACTCAAGATCGACCGCAAAAGGCATCGTTTGTGGTCATGTGGATAATTTGCCCAAGACCAGCTTGATATATCATTCGTCTTTAGCCATTCATGAATAATAGGGTTTTCATTTCTTACTTTTATGACCTTCAGAACTACAAAGGTACTTCAAATGCATGAAGCGTCGATTAAGGAGCATAAAGAGACTGGATTCGATGGAAAAAACCAGTCCTTGTTCCGGTGACATTAGCCAGTAAGGAGAAAATCTTTAGTTGCCTCAAATTCATTCCATGAGATGGCAATACCTGTGCAATCTCCCCATCGTACCGCTCTCACAAACTCGGAGCTATGCGTCATCACACGCCTTTACCTGACCTTTGGTTGCCAGCTGCGCTGAAAGCATAATTTTAGATATTTTTACAAACGTAAAAGTCTTTTGAACCATTACCGTCATTGATTTGATTGCGCTGGGCAATACTCATATTTCATGGTTTATTCATAGTGCAAATTCCCGAATGGGGAACGATTCGTTAACTTCTTAGTGAATTAAGGGCTAAGAAAGTTATTGGGCTTGTATTTACTGGTAAAAGTAGATCCTGATGTTGGTTTTCGAATGGATTATGCAAGGAGGGGTTCATTAGAGGAAGTTAACAAAACGTATTTGGGATTAGGGTATTCTACCTTTTTTATATAAGTAGGCCAAAATTCGAAGATAGAACAAGTCGTTTGCTGCAATGGAACCATACGTGCTTAACTTTTGAGTGGTTACAACCTCAACAAAATATTTGTACTTGTAGAAGTCCTACCACCTTAAAGTAGTTTTCCATTCTTAGGTATGGTTTAGTGACACCATTTGTCAAAACACTAGTCACTTTTTGCAGGTACGAAGACCGATAACAAATACAAGCTTTGTACATTTGCGATATTTTGCACTTATCAGCACTACTAGCCAAAGATTTTTTATGTTAATTAATTTTAACTCTAAAGTTAAAACATTTGCTGAGTAATTGAGACTTTGAACCAACCGAGGAGGAGAGAAATGGAAACAAGCTTGTTTATCTATATTCTACTCAATCATTTACTCACAGACAAAACTGAGGTCCCTTAAGCCTTGTATAAAACAATCATTTATCCAAATGTCACATTTGTTAGTGAGCAGACATTTAAATTGAGCAGCTTCCTTTAAAATGACAGATTGTTCTGCAATCGCCCATCTAATTCAAGAATTTGATGTATTTGACCGTGTAGTTGTGCCTCAACTGGTTGGCCACCGTGATTAACTGGGCCTGGCTCTCGGGTTTTCTTTGGTGCCTAACATCCAAATGAACCTTTAGGAGAAAAATATAGCATTATCGTACATAGTTTAAATTTGCTTTGTGTCAAACGCTGTTTCTTATAAATGACAACAGCGTTTGTGGCCATGGTATTTTGAAATACGCTCAACTGCCAAGATCATTCGATTTCACATTCCATGCAGCTATTTGCTGAGTGTTTTGAGTCAGCTGAACTAGTCATTTCATCGTATGAAGTTGCTTGCAGAGGCGATTACGAAACCCCGAAAAACTTTCCTTTCCTTTCGTTGCCATATATACAATGTTCTATAGCTTGATTCTTTACATCCAGCTAATGAATGGGTCAAAATACCTCAAACGCACACCAAAGTAACAATAAGTTCACTACGATGCGACGCACTCTCAAATGCAGATTATGGTAAGTTGGCTCTCGCTATAAGCAAATTTTCTTGTGAAACGCGACGCAACCCGGTAAAAGAAGCTCTTGCTAATAAGAAGACACGTAATCTTCATGCGAAGAAGAGGGTGTGCGACTGCAGTCTATTCGCATTTTCTCGATAAGCGTATCCACAGTGTAGATGACATCACTATAAACACTTGTAAGGCAAAATTGCAAATTGGCTATTAAACGTGTAGGATTTAACTGCGCGTCCCGGTACTCGACTACTACGTCTTCCACACCCCACGCCCACTTACCCCTCCACCCATTCACCCATATGAATCAGTCGTGTCACCGTAAAATGGGGATTTTCCCATCACCATCTTAATGAATCACACTCCTTTCCTGTTTGGAATTGAAATGTTATGATATTACTTTCACCGCATGTGACATTGGTGTTAGGTTAGGTAAACTTTCCCGTCAAATATGCAAGCAGATTTTAAAAAATCCTTCATATCAAGGCAATAAAAACAGCAAAAGCTGCCAAATCTATTATTTTGCCTTAGAGAGGCAGGTGAAAGGCAACAGCACTCACTCGTACGTGGTGTCGAATGCGGTACTCTCCGGCCTCAATGGAGGACTCGGTGTCTTCAGGAACCTTTAACTCAAGCATGCATACGGCCTGACGGCTGGCCTCGGGCATGAGGCGCTTGTCATCCATGCTGGGACGCAGGCGACCAGAAGGTGTGTTGTTCGTGTCGCCAGCCGGGAAGGTGTTGCCGATCTTCGAGACAAAGGCCCTGTTGAACTTGTACTTCATTCGCTGCTTTGAACATCGGTCGAGAAGTTCAATACCCGGGGCCTTTTTTTCCATTATCACGTCGCTGCTGTCAGAGAGGCCGATCTCTGGCAAGTTGGTAGAGGCTATTAGCTCTGCATACGCGCCGTGCAATGCATTTTTATTGTCCGTATAGATCGTAATTCGGATTGTGTCTTTTGGTAGCATGTGCTTTTTTTCCAACTACAAGCAGAAACTTTTTTAGTTATTTGACATTCCGTACGGCCCAATTTGCAGAATAGCCTTTAACTTATGGGAAAATGTTGTCATCACTTTAATCATGATATGCAGGATACAATTGAGCCTCAAATTTCTAGTAGGTGACGCTGAAGTGGTTCTTGAGTTGACAAGTTGGTGACGATTTAATGATTTTGTTGCACTTTTATAAGCCAGCAAAATGTGTCAATCACTCGCCACATAAATAATTAATTCACTTTGATATGTCATTTATTTCGAGGAAAACGCCTAAAACAAGTATTAAAAACACCCATCTATACATAAATTCCTGCTAAGCTAAGTTATCTGAATATTCCCCAGGAATCTTGTGAATATTATGTCTTTTTAATGGTTTAACTTAACGCGCGGATGATTTTCTCAACTGAGGAGGGCACACACAATGATGAGTGCACTGGCATTCTTGTATCCCAGTTTGACCAGTTGCACACAGCCCGGCGCGTACATGCCATTGACGACGGGAGGCAAACCACCACAGCTAATCACTTGCAGTGGCACCTTGTCACTGAGCGCGGTCAAAAGCGCGCCACCGCTTGCCGGTTGCGCGTCGACCTGCACCGACACGGAGGTGCTACAAAAACACGCACCAGCATGAAGTTGCTGTATCGTGAAAAGACAAAAGTAGAATCATCCAAAAGTCCCAATTGTTTTTTTTTTCACCACTACAGTCTGGGTTGCTTGAGCGTGACTCCTGAAAACTCATTTTCGCACGTTTAGTAATTTTTGACTTCAAAACGCAAAAATGCCTCGTGTTTTTTAGAAACAGTGATAATTCTGATTATATCAAGGAATTAGTTGATTTTGCTGAGAAAAAATCATAAAAAGAGTCACAAATGAATTATTGAATCAATAAATAAATTTTCTTCGACTCCTGAACAAGTATTCCTTAAGGTGGTGGAATTATGACAGTAAGTGAACATGACATTTAGGAAACTGTCAGATCCATGCATATTGCATAGCGTGAATGTAAACTACTTTATAGGCTTCACCTTCTTGTATGTATAGGCATATTTGTGTGTCGTTTCGAAGAAATAAGCAAAAGTATCCCTCATCCGGGTGACTGGGGTACTTACGAGTGAGTGACGATAGCTTTGTGACGATGTTCGCCTTTTCTCGTGTAAGTTATGGTAGGATTGACCTCTGCAGGAATACGAACAGCAAAAGGGATGGCGTGGGTTCCTTTGGGTAGGGTTATTGGTCCACTGAAGGGCCACTCCAGGCAGTCCTCGTTAAAGTAGTCATCGGGTAGCTGAAGGCTCTCCATGAGGTCATCTCCATCCCACACTTCGGTTATTGCCTCGTACTGGCCGGGCTGGCGTTTGTTTTTACCACCCGTGGGGGCCACAATCTCCTTCTTGAAGGAATTCACTTGCTATAAATGAAATTATTCAGATTGTCAAGTAGGCAGTAGTATTGCTGTCGAATTCTGTCTGTGTTGATTGCATCTGAACGGGAATTTTTCGACCATGCAGTTCAATCTCTATGATGATCTACATGTACATTCCCGCACAGAATTACGATATCCATGCTGTTACTCCATCCGACAAAGCACCTCTGGCAGCATGCAATTAGACGGTAATTTTGCGCTGGACAACCTAAAGCTTAGTCTCAACCACTAATCGGAAAAAGAGGCTAATCATAACCCTTTATTAGGGCTAACGTGGCTTTACCGATCGACTACTATCTAAGGATTGCTGAAATTGGCGTAACCAATTATTCGATTGTCAATCCTCTTAATCGCTTTATGGGTCTCAGGTTTACTTGCAAGATAATTACATTGTAAAATGATACTGCCAAAAGCCTTTTCTTTCCTTAACTTCACCCATTTTTAACCTTGTTTGTATGTTTGTGATTTTAGCCTGAGGCAGTGCGGTGCTGATTTCAAATGTTAAGATTGGCCATTTACAAGTAGCACATCGACGCAAGTCAAATGCAGTCTTTTCCCATCAAGAAAAGCCTACCACTTCCGTGTCTGATCCGTGGCGGCCAGAAATTTCTTTTCTAACATTGCACTGTCCATTTAGAGTAATTTTGTTGATCCTGGCATCTTCCGCGACATCGAAGTAAACAATGCCGTGGAGAATGTAGCCGGGGATGACAGTTTTGTTGAAGATTTTGAAAGTCACTTGATCAAAGCACTTATTTGCATTTCCGAGATCTGTTACTGTGGACTCCATGGGAGAATTTGGGAGTTCATCAAGCGGTTGACACGCAAAGGGTTGGACTGAATAATAATAAGGTTGGCATATGTAATCGCGACAACTATAGGAATGGGTGTCAGGTATTTGGTGACCGCACGTTGGTAAGCCAAATGAAGCAAAAATTTGCATTAGGCAATTCAAAGTTTAGAAGAGCATTTGATCTCCACTTTATGCTTGAATACATTGATAACTATAAAACATTGCGGTTCTTTTTCCTCATCAACAAAGACAATGCATATTTTCGTTTGCGGGTCTGAGGAAAATTTGTAAAGTACACGCAGAAATAAATTAGCTTACATTTTTTTGTCTAAAAGAAGGAAGTAAACAAATTATGAACCTTTAATGAAGTAGAAACAAAAAAGCAGGCGCTGAATTTAGTTGCAGTAAACTGTCGCAGTCCGCACCAAATAGTGCTGTCTCCTGCTAGCTGGGCAGCTTCGGCATGGGTCAACTTCTCGTGTCAAACATCGTCTAAGCATTAACTATAAGTACTTTAATGAAAAATGCTCATCTGGGTGTAGAAGCCAGAGTAATGGCCATTAAAAAAATACTATCTTCGTACTGGTGAGCCCAAAAGTGTTTTAATAAGTATTTCATCCTAACGCCCTGCGTGAAAGTCACTTGAAAATACAAATTGGAACTCGGAATATCGGTTTACAGTCTTTGAAATGTTTAAACTACTAGCGCGTCAATGCTCAGGCGTGTACTTTACTGTCTTAAGTGTTAAATGATAAACGGGTCGTTTCTCGGAGTATCTGAGATCGTTTGACAGGGTAGTCGTCTAGCTCATGCCGTTTAATAACAAGAACAGTAAACATGAGCACTTACGTTAGGTGTCACCTAAGCAAAAGGAGACAAATTACATGAAAATATTAAACGGTAAACGAGCTTTCTCTTGTAGTGTCCGGGATTGTTTTAAAAAGTGGTCATCTACCTCACGTCGTTTGGACTATGACAATAAAAATAGTAAACTTGAGTACTTACGTTAGGTACCTCCTAAGTAAAAGGAGATAAACCACATGAAAATACCGCCTTGTTTATCTT